CGACATAGTCTTCAGATCTGCAACATATTAAATATCTGTTAAAGCATCGTAAATTTGATGCAACATGCACAAATACAAACACCTATGCCAAAACCCAAGGCTGATAAGAGGTAAGCATACTTGTTAGTAATTTCCACAGTTAGGAAGAAACGAAAGCAAGAAAACAATGGCAAGAAATAAGAGATGCCACATGTCATGCCGACCTCTGACCAGATATCTAAAGAGCATGCGGGCTTTTCAAATAAATTTAAGAAGTCGTGACAATTTTACAACTCAAGATGCTAACGGCAAAAGCACAGATTATGATCAAGCTAGTATCCAAACTACATTATCAGAAAGCAATATTCAAAATACGGCTTCTGTGAAAACACTTGGAAGAATTCCAGACACTAAATGCAGAAGATATTTAAACTATGTAGTTCGCGGAGAAATAGTCCTTACCCATGGGATCTTTGATGATGTCATAATAATCAGGAACATCACGTGCATCAACTGGTTCCTTGAATGGCCAGGCATCAACATGGTCATGCATAGACTGCTTAAATGAAAATGTATTTGGTAAGAATCCATTTTACGCTGACAGCAAGAGGAAAGTCACAAAAACTCGACCATATAACTAAGATTTCCATGTGTCTTCTGCTCATACTGGGGAAAATGATCAATAAACCACAAATGGCAGCTTGTCATGTGTTATATTCCGCATATCGCATACAAACTCTTATTGCTTCCTACCCCTGTAAAGGTACTTTGCTTTGGGAGACTAAGATGGTACTCTATTGCACACTTGTCTCTCTGTAGTCGCTCATATACTTAATTCGAAGACAAGGAAAGATCCAATTCATTTCTTAGATTAAAACGCATGCAAGTTGCATCACAAGATTGAGTCAATACAAATTAATGCAAAAAGATAAAGCAAGCTAACTTTCACGATGAAAAACAAAAGACAACTTGACAAAGATATGCTTAAGCAACTCACCTTTAGAAGTCCTCGCATGAATCCAGTCAAATACTTTCTGGCACTGTCTGTGGAAGCAGACAAAGCTCCAAACCGCGAATGGCCCCATTGATCAGGGGTCCACCCAGCCTCCCCTGTTACCAAAATGTTCATTAAACTTCTGATTACCAATTCAACTTCCCCAACACAACTTAACACAAAGGTAAAATTGACATTAAATTTAGCATAGCATAAATGACTGATTAAGAGAATAAAATAACCAGTGAAGTTAAAGAACTTACTCAAGCCAGGGATGTCCTCGACCTTAATGATTTTTTTAGGAACACCAGCTTCTTTCTGGATAAATAAATACATGGTCAGAACTAAGTTTTAGACATTCATACATTAACTGCTAATAACAGTCAAGAAGACCCCAAAAAAAAGAAAGAAAAGGAACCATACAAGAATTTAATAAATGTGCCATGACACCAGATTGTCACAGGCTTATGTCCAGTAAGTACTCTACTCGTTAGTGGTTAACAGAAGTTTAAAGAAAACACTAGAAATATTATAGAGATTTGGGAATTTATATCAGGACAATATTATGTTACCTTTTGAAAATCAATGCCAGGATAAACAATGTGACAATTTGAGAGCTCTCTTATCTTCTCATCGATCGCCTACCACAAAACCAAAACAACCAGATAGTCTAGATTGTAGTGAATCCACCTTGGTTCAATACTCTATACATGCTTTGTCATCAATCATGATCCATTGTTAGATTTAACTTAATTATGAAAATCTACAAGCTATTGAGTTGACCCTTACCTGCCTCTGACGACGAATCATAGTTGATAAGTCGGTGTATGGTAGCTTTGGGTCAATTCTGCATTCCATTAGGATTCCTCCATCGTAATCTTTTATATAGCTGCACACAATAATAAAATGCTGACATGAAAAAGGTTTTCAAAAGAAGTAAGATACCTAAATCAGGCAACACATCCTATTTCTGGTGAAGGACCACCAGCTCATAAGTTCATTTGTATGTCTTATCTTGCCTCTACTTTGAGTGGTAAGTCTGGTCACAGTTACTTGATTATGGTAATTAAAAGTACAGAAACGAAAGTAGCAATTGTATCAAAGCTTCACTCATTTCTTTTCAAGGCTAACCACTTCAAGCTTACAAAGCACAATAAGAAACCTAGATCTTCTGAAATCAAAATTTAACAGTCTTCATATAACTAGAGTTGTGTGCCTAACATACCCATGCCATCGGTCTTTCTCCAAGTGAATCTCTTTTGTAAAACCCTACAAACAAAAAAAGATTTAGTGCAGTTTCTTCACCAGATCAACTCCATAACTCAGGAGCAAGAAAAAGAAATGGCATTGAAAGGAGAGTTGTCAAAACTATGCTAAAAGCTGACACTGAGATGTCGAAGCAAGATTTCTAAAGCAACAGAATTATGGCACCATTAGTTTATGCAGAAACAATCAATAGAAAACCTAAAAGGTGATTACACGAATGATAGATAACAAGACCTGTTTAATAAAATAGCCAACAGCATTATTGTCAGCGTATGTCAGGAAATGGGTTAGCCCATCAACATCCCGTGCATACTGTTTTAAGTGATTCATCAGTCTTGTGCCATAACCTTTTACTTGTTCATCCGCTGTGATTGCACAAAAAGCTATCTCTCCAAACCTTTGGCTGTTATTTCCAGGAAACGAATGTTGGTAACAGGGCAAATGAGGTACCTCACAGATGAAAAGCCCAACTCTGTATTAAAGTATGTGGAAAATGGCAATACAGAAGATAAAACAAAAGGATAATAAAATAAAAACTTCACCTGACATACGGTCGATATGTTATGCCACCAACAACATGATTACGTCTGATAACCATAACCGATTTATGACTTCTGTAATTCCAAAAACATAAACCAATACTTAGACGGGATATTAAAACAAAATATTCGATTACTAGAGATGCTGAAATGCGTTCATGTATTACATGCCAAATAATATAAACACATACATACACACTGATCACTCATTCTATATGCTTTGAAAATGAGCTAGTAGTGTTACCTATCCATAACAAGTCGGACAATGTACTCCTTGGGCATGTTAGGTAGCTGCCTGGCAAATATGTTCTTCAATCCTACCAACCTGAGAAACCCAAAAACAGAGGCATAAATTAAACTCCGAACCAACACAGATTTCTTAACACTAGTCATTTTGATAACTGAAACAATTAAGATGAATTAGTTTTACTTTTATAGTTCAACATCACTAAACCATCGAAGATTATAAAATGAAAGTTCATCAGAGACAAATACCAAACCATATGCTCATCAATACCGTCATTCGAAAGGCACACAAACTTGAGCCTCCCCGCTTCCTCCTAGACAAATGAAATAAATAAAAACATACAACTTTGATACTGTGATACATAACCAGCCAAATATCCAATTGAAAATTACTTCATACTAATTAACATTACTGAATTCCGTAAGGAAATGAGAATAATAAAGAAAGTAGAAGCGCAGAGAAGCTTACCTCTCTCTTCAAACTCTCTTCTCTGGCACTGTAAGCCCCACTGGTCTGTATATTCTCCGTGAAGATCTTAGTGGCGTCCTCCTTCACCATGATCCCCGGCACCGAGCCTCCGGCGACGGTGGGCCCCACTGCACCGGTCCCGGCGATTCCACCACCGTCTTTAGCGCCGTCTGAACTCTCATTCTTGACCGTTGCATTCTCCGTTTTGAGCTTCGAGTTGCGCACCACGGCAGAAGCGCCGCTGTTATCGAGACGCGCCGCCGTGAAGTTGCGCATGGACGAGTCGTTGTCGAAGTCCTCCTCGTCGTCGTCGACCAGCGCGTCGGACTCATCGTCCGAGTCGGAATCGGCGCCGCCGCCTCTGGCAGAAATGCTGTCGAGGTCATCGTTGGAGGTCAAAGCGCCGTCGCGCGTGTCTGCGGAGAATGAAGAGGGAGGGAACGGCGGCGCGTGGTCCTCGGACGCGAGCTTGCGTTTGTGGATGGACGAGGTGGCCGAGGCAGAGGCCGAGTGCGACGGCGACGGGGACTGAGAGCTCCGCGAACGGTTCGATGCAGCGAGATGCGAGGAGTGCGTGTCCATTTGTGATTAACTCGGTGAGTTGACTCGGACCGAGTCAAGGATTTTGGGGCGGGATCGGTGAGTTAGGGTATTTGTAAACGATCTTTCGCTTCTCACCCAAAAAAGATGAGGATGAGGAAAGGCCAATCACGTGCCCGATCGCCTGCTTATGCAAAGTTGGACCAAAATGGGGTCGTCTTTGCCCCAAAAAATCCAGTTGGACCAAGTTCAGCCCAGCCAATCGGCTTAGTTGAGCCCGAACGCGTTTGGGCAGAGGCTTTTCCGGTTCTACAAGACCATATTTGGGTGATTCAGTACTTTTCCGGTTTTTGACTGAAATAGTCCTTAAATTTATGCTCGAGTTCTATTTTGGTTTTTCAATTATATTTTTTCATTTCAGTAGTCCTCTAACTTTCTTTCATGTCAAATTGGTTTTACTGTAACAATTCTCTTAAGTTTTTAACAGAAAATTAGTGTCCAAATTGATAGTTTTACTTCTCAATTGATGGAAAAGAGAGAAGTTGAACCCATTTAAAAACCTCAACTAAACCGAGATGAGGTTTTGATTCTTTTTTTCATTTAAGTCGGTTGCATTTTTTTTGTCCGAAAGTACTTAGGGCTTATTTGGTTCAAAGTTTAGAAGTTTAGAAATTGATATGAAATTATAGTCCATGTTTGATGACTACGTACACTCTAAAAAATAGAATACATGATACATAAGTACGAACTCTTCATACATTTGATTTTCCGTGATAAGTTTTTTACTCACTCACGAAAATGGTTAATGCCCTTTTTCAAAACTATGTTCTAAATTTGAAATACCAGTTATGATCCTTAAAAATTCATAGGTATTCATAACCTTTAATAAAAATGCAAGAGTATTATCGAAAAACAAAGCAAAATTTTTTAATTCAAATATTGTTCAAATGAGAACGGATAAAAAGATCCAAATACATGAAAATCCTTCATTCTCATCTCCTGATTAGATATGAAAATTTCATCCCACTAACCCAAACAGGTGATTAAGTAAAAGATACTGACTATTGTTTGACATTCAAAAATGCCAGCAGTGATAAACAAACTCAACAGTAAATTCGATGGAATATTGCACCATCAAGTCCGCAAATTCAACACCCAAGTCCGCAAATTAACTCACTTCTGATCAAACCAAAGACAAATTACTAAATAAGATTTAACTGATGAAAAAAAGGGAAACAGCCGCAACTTCATCAGATTATCACTGAGCACGAAGAGCAATCAGAAAAACGGCCTGCGCAGTGTAAAAGAAATTATATATGAAAATTAACCATGAATATATTCTTGAATAAAAGAAAGGTATTGATAATGAATTGAAACCTACGCATACTCATAGAAGTAGTACTCTTGACACTTCTTCTCTCGGAAGGCAAGAGGTACGTAAGTTTTAGGGTCTTCCCCGCGCTTTCTCTTCCGCCGGGTTGCAGGAGCAGCGGCCTGGGCTTTCACCTTGGGTGCTGCCTTCTCCTCCGACGTCCCTCTGCATGGAGCATATGTAATATAATTACGGGAGTTTCACTAAAACACCCAAAATAGGAACTGAAATTATAAAAAAACTCAACACCCAAAACAGTTTATAAACACACCCAAAACCCATCATTACACACACTCAAAACTCATTTATAAACACACCCAAAAAATATACAATTGTTGACTTTGGGGTTGATTTTGGGTGTGTTTCTATGTTTAAATAGTGTTTGGGTTTTTTTATAAATACATATCTAGAATTGGGTTTATTTATAAATTTATGAGTACTAACTAAACTAATTGAGGTAATAACTATTTATTTGCTTAATTCAATTCAATGCATGGACGAAAAGCTCGGGCTGTTTGCATATTTATATTATAAAAACTAACAAAAACAAAAATAAAAAAGAAACTAGCATGGTAGGTTAAGGTTAGGGTTAGCTTAACCTCAATTAATAAACTTCACTTACCCAGTTGCATCTTCAACTCCGGTCATGTTCAGGGGGATGAGAAAGTTATCATCCTCAACACTCTCCGACTCCAAATTCTGATTGTCGCCGTGCCCCTCCTGCATGCCAAGAAGGTACAATTTCATGATGGAATTAATAAAATCATCATGTATATATGCTGATCATGGAATTAATAAAGTCACATGTATGCTAATCTACATTTGTTAAGAATTCTTGTGTTATATATGTGGCTAGCACTACTTCGTGTGTGTGTATATGTATACTATTTCATGTCAAATGTGGTAGAATAATTTCATGTGTATTCTTCTCTTGACGCCAATATTTCACACATTAAAAATAAAATCATTATAATATAGTGAAAGCAAAGTTCTAGAGGAGAAGGAATGTCTTGATCATCGCGACTCTGTATACAAATCATTTCAAATTAATTTATTTAATCCCTTCTTTTCCCTCTTATGTATTCAAATCCAGGCATGCTTGAAATATAATAGTGTACAACAAACAATTTAATTTTAAAAACATCGTTTAAATCCTTAAATTTGAAACCACTTCATCCGAACGGACCATAACATATGCATATGCATCACATAAGAACATAAGAAACTGATCAAGAAGTTGTTCAATTTTACCTCTTGAGTCCCATTCGGTTCAATGGCTCTCTTGCCTGAAGAAGTTGCTTTGCCGCCAGGGCCCAACATCACCAGAGGTGCAGAAGTTTGTTGATCATGATGATCAGAAATGGTTCTTTCAGGCTTAGGTGGTGACCTGTCCAGTACTTCAGGCGTTGCATCGCAGAGCTCAGCTTCAAGTGCAAATAATGAAATTACAGACGAGAGATCAAGATCGATTAATTCCCATATGATATATTTCAGCAAAGAACACATTCAGAACTAAAATTCAGAAGTTTTTTTTTTTGTTTGTTTGTTTGGTAATTAATAAACATGCATCTAATTGATCTGGAAAAATTAAAATAAATTATTATGAGGGATATGAGTTGCAACAAGAAATGAAATTCTCATACTAATTTTATGCAATAGAATGTTTAGTTGTTGTAGGTTAATGAGAGGATGATGGGAATTCCATGCACGTAGCAATATAAAGTAAGTACGATACAACTATATCCGGTTAACCATTTTTCGTTAAAGAATCTCATAACGATATATCCACGTGTTGCATATGATATCTTTGTTAGGAAAAAAAGAGTTCTTAAATTATTAAGGATCAAAATGTCACAAGATAACTACGATCACAACTAGTAGTGGTAAATCTATGTCCTTCAGATCTGATTCCAATAAATCATGATTTAATTTATTTAATGTTGAGGGATGAAATCACTATTTCATATCATGATTTATAAAGAACTGAAAAATATAGTTCAATCAACTGTATCCAAAAGTGTAGCAATTCACTTATTGGATCTCTCTCTATATTTTTATTTTTTTTTGTTTGAAAAAAAAGGTGCATTCAGAAAATTTAATTTTGAATTTTTTCAGAGAAACTGGTTTAAATTTCAATAAAATTTCCCTCGACCTCGGCCTACAAAAACTTTGCCTTAATTTGTAAATTATTTCCTTTTTATATCGCCTTTCCTTCTATGAAATCATCATCTCGATCACAACATTTTTCTTCAGTTATCAAGAAGAAATTAAATAAAAAGGTTACAGGAACCTTGAAAAAAAAAAACATATAACCATGGCATAAATCATTTTATTTATTTTTTATAATTAAACAGTGACATGCATATGGATAAGATTGGTCGCAGGGTGTCTCAAGATTTCACCTTCAAAGCTGTAATGCAAATGTCCGTCTGGATCCGCACTCATTTTCACAAGGTCAATTCAGATCTTTCAAACCCTAAACAAACAAAAAAAACCACAAACACATGAAAAATGAGGACATGGCTTGGAGCTAGGGATAAGACGGCAAACCCAAACAGAAAAGTTTTGGACGCATCAAACACATACCAGAGAATTGAGGAAGACGAGAGAAGAGAGAGAAGCTCAGAGTCTCACTCTCTCAGACAAGCAGCTTGTGATCTGTTTGGAAAATAATTAAGGGTTCTATATATATATAGCTAGGCTTCTCCTTGCAAGGGTTTTTGCAGTGAGACTCGGCACTGCGGGGCTAGAGCTTTTCTTACCCCAATAAGTCATTGCCATATCACCACACTTCACTGACGTGTAAAAATCTCGAATATGCAGATGTTGAAGTGTAATTTACCAACTAATTATATTTCCTTCAGTTAATTACTAGTGAATTAATTTCTCATTTGTTGTAGTACATGTGTATGAAAACTTATCATCATCACCAGCAGTAGTAGAAAACTAAAATAAATAATGAATTTGAATTTGAGCTTCTAGGATTTATAACTCCAACGGTCAAGTATTTTCCCGCGTGCTCGTGGCGCGCCTATGTATTCACTTTCTCTAAATAAACTGTAATCCCAAATGAATACGTAAAAATGTACTAGCTAAAGTTTTATTTGATGAAACACTTATATTTGTATTTAGCCATTTATTTATGTTCTATAAAACGTATTTATATTTAACAATTAACATATTTTCATATTGAAAATTCAAGATTAAATTTGCCACCTCTAATTCATTAAAAAAATGCAAAGAAAAAGGAAGGTTGCTTGGGTAATTAAGATAATTAGATATAGTTGCCTAGTTAAGCATCCGGGTACAAGTTGGCTTCCAAATATGGCATTGGGAAGCGCTCCTTTCTAAGTGAAACGCATATAAGATGCGCCCATGAGCGACACGTGGCAGAGGTGGTTTTCTTTTTTTTCTTTTTTCTTTTTTGGTCAGAGTAGGACGTGGTAGGTGTGTCCTACTTGGCACGTATGCGAAGACGACATGTGGTCTAAGTCCGATTTGGAAGGACGTTTGCGCTGTTTCTCCTGTAAGTAGGTGCTGTGTATTTCTGAGCTGGCAATTTAATTAATTTTTGTACCCACAGTTTTACTCATTTATTTATTTAGTTGAATTGTTGTAAATTTGGACCAAAATTAATTTTCTTACAAATTGTTGAGGATGTAAATTCAAGTCAAAAACCAATTAACAAGTGACAAGTGTGTCTCAGAATTCAAGCGTATTTATCCAATATCTGTATCAGTTTTTTTTTTTTTTTTTTACAACTAATTATTGTATGTATTCAATAAATTGCATGACAACGTGGAGATCCAATTCATTCATATTTTAATTCCATTTTAATAAATGCATAATTATTAGTATGGTATTGTACAAGTAATTTAACATGTGTATCAGATACACCTTATAATGTTTCCATTTTTGCCATTACCAATGGCAATTAAAATAAATAAGGAAAACTAAAAAGAAAAAGAATTGCTGCTATAACCGTCGGTTTTGTGAAAAAAAATTTAGTACAAGCGATTAGGGGAGGGGAGTTTACACAAATATTCATTGGGTGCATGGGGTTTCGAACTTCTGCCCTCATACCATATTCTATTTGAAAATAGGCTAGTCAGTTTACACAAATATTCTAGAATGAACATTTGCTTCTATTTCATTACATTTCTCTGTTTCCTTCTTTCTTTGAAACACTAATGTTATACAATTCCAATTTTAATGTACCGGCAAATTCAATAGAAATTACTGAAATAATTAATAAAAAAAATAATTTTAATACAAACAATTTGGAATTGTTACAGTTAGACGTATACGAGCAGCCCTTGACCATATGATCTTTCATCTATTTTGACATTTGAGAACCAAAAGAACTGCAAGTGCCAGGAGGGCTTTGTGTACAAAAATAGACAAAGCTCGCCCAAGACAATGATCCAAACACAAGTATATGATATATCCAGCACTTGAAGCATGCCATCACTTCTCTTCTTTAGTCTGATCTTGGCCGATTCGGACCGCCTTTGTTATTATTGTACAGAGGTAGTAACCATGAAGACCCGTGTTTCCTTCTTCCGTTACACCGCCAGTATAGTACAAACAGAGCTACTATGACACCAGCTGGTATAGCCCATCTGTCTCAATCAACAAACAAAGTAAAACACAGTTTGACTTGCAAGACAGACAACATCTCGATTTATATTAACTGACGTTTGACCGATGTTTTGGGGGGAATGGAAAGAAAGAAGCAAGAAGAAGGATTTCATTACCTGTCCAGATCAAGGACGGGGCTGTAAACAAGTGTTTCCCAAGTGGCCACTATTACATGCCAAACTGGATTGTAGTAAAGAGATTCTGCAGACCAAAACATCCTCGTGTATGTCTCTAAGAAGATGAAGAGGACCCAGGCCCCGATTTCGATCAAAATAAACTTTATAATAAACCTGCCAACGACCACCATGACAAGGGAGAAGGCGACCAACCAATTGAAGAGCCTGTGATTGTATTCTTTTATAAATAGAGACCGTGACTTCCCCAACATCTGCAAATTAATATCATACATTCTACATATGAGCTTTTGCACCCGAAGGGAATAAAGGAAGATAGAAGAAGACGGGGTGAAAATGGACATCAAAAGGCATGCCTAACCTTCATCATTCGATGCTCGTAGTTTGTTTTTGCAGGTCCAACACACTCTTGCTCAAAACTTTGGTTGCACTGCAGGAATCCTGCATTGAATTTTGCCATGGAAGGAAGTCTGAGAACTTGAAGTTGGTCCATTTTATCCTCACATCTGGTATACAATGCCTCACAGAGCTTTGAAGACCGATATTCATTTGCCATGATCACATTTTTATGCACCTAGATAAATCCCAGAGTTAAAAAACCACAGGTCATGTTCGAAAATTGCAGGATGTGATGATGGTGCAAGTGAGGACGCCAACAAAATATCTAAAACAATTTGGCATGTTGAGTAAATGTTAAGAGATACATGACCAGGAGAGGGGTTTAGAGGGACCCCTATTGTAAGCCCAGACCTCCTCCTCCCCTGCCCCCCCTACAAACACAACATATTGAACTAAACTTAATGCACTTGCCCAATGCGGAGCACCACTGGCCACCCATAACATTTCGGGATAGGTTCATTGTTAACAGTTACCCAAGGATTTTATAGACCTGTTCTAGAAAATGCTAACCAGATGGTCCAAGGAAGACTGTCTATAAACACACTCGCAAGCCGCAATGCAGTGACTGGAAGTGCTTATAGAAATCTGATATTAAAATAACTTCACTTTGTATACTTGTTTATTCAATTTCCACCAAGCCACTGACCTGATCTACCAAAATAATCCAAGGCTGCTTACTGTTATTAGAAAGTGCTTATACCTTTTCTATTTCTTCTTCTAGTTGCTCGACTGATTTCTTTGCATGGTGACGGCCAAAATGTTGCTCCTCAAAAAGTTTCATCACTTCCTCCAGGGACCTTTCATGGTATTCTTGCAAAGATTGCTCTATAAGAGGTAAAGTCAATTTTGCCATCCTTTCATTGTATAGCTTTAAACATCGCTCAAGAATACCCTTGTTGAATACCTCCACCAGAGAGCCTGTTGATGGGATCTCCCCCTTGTTCAAGGCTTCAAGAATCTGAAGGATGAATTAATACAAAGCAGAAACGAAAATAGAGAAACAAGGAACATAGCTATGAACTTGACCCGACGGGATACCACACAACATAATATCAGCTCTAATGAAGCTTGATAATTCTGACATTATGGCTGATTTTAACCAACCAACATTATAATATAACAGGTACCTGCTCCAGAAAAGATACAAACTCCTTTCCGTTTAGAGGTCTTCCCTGCACAATCTTTGGACGGATGATACTAGCCACAAGTTGTTTTAGTTGTTCCTTTTTTTTAACATACATCGGGTCAAGTTCACCATCCTTCATGTCACAGAGTTTAGTTCGTTGAAGGTGAGGCTGTTTGACAGTTCAGAATCACCACAGAATGAGATTACTTGACAAACAAATATAATAAGACTTCTATAGCTAAGGGATGCATAAAACATGCATCATATGCATTGGCAATCCACGTCAACCATGTTTCACAGATGCCGTCCCTCTCCCAAGAGAGTTAACAATGATAGCAATAACCACTAAGGAGCCCGAATATAAATTTTTACAATAGTAAAACTGTAATCATAAAAAATTTGCTGAAACAAAATATAGTATGCAGAGGGCGCGGGATATCTAATTGGCATAGAATTGGTGCAAGTGTGCAGAGGTAAATATCCTCCAACACACAAACCTTAGGACAAACTGGAAACAACTTAATACCCAAAACTTCAACTTTTTTCTCTACCTTCAGAAACATCTTAAAAAATTACATGCATTTGCCATACATGTTCAAAATGACACTACTTTTTAAGCAACAATGAACTCAAGTGACTGACTCAGAAACAAAATGCGTGCAAAAAGTGCAAGAAAAGAGGAAAACTCATACTTGTGGTAAACTGAAGGCTGTGCTATTATCACCCATAATAGCCAAAGAATCTCGGATCTGGTTGACCTGATAAAGACATAAAAATGTTGGCTTTCATTCCCTGAACAGCAATTACTCAGCGTCGAGTGATAATATAAGGGAGAAAATACCATATCAATATTCTTGTTGCCTGCAATGCCCAAAAGCACCCAAAATTAAACCTATGATAAGAAATAAATAAATTGTAGCACCTTTATGCAAAAACAGCTCTTGTGCAAGGATGCATAGTGGGAAAAAAGACTAACCATCACTGTTAGGGACATGAAGGAGAGCTTCATGCACCATGTCTTCCACAGATTTCCCTTCTGCAGAACACGCACAAGAATGTCAGCTTATGAAGATTCTGCTGGAAGCTTGGAGAAATGGGTGGATAGTGAAAAGACAAATCTAGGTGGAATGCCATTGGAACTTCTATGTTCCTCGTATTTAACTTTTAAAAACATGTCACACGTATTTCTCAACTTACGCAAAAAATCACGCTGGATAAGCCACAATAGCTTTGCAGGTTCAAAAGCAACATCTTGTCCCTACAAAAGAATCCGACCGTTCACATGCGTAATTTATTGGAAGATAATACACATGAGGGAAAACGATTTAAAGGATTGGAAATTACCTTCACTCTATTTTTGCCACATGAAATTTGCAAACAAGCCATGAAACATGTCAGTTTTGGTAATAGAAGCACAAATTAAATATAATGAGAATAAGGAATAGAAGAGAGTGCAAACCTTCCATAAAATTCTTCAGCAAGCTCAACAGCAAATGACAACCGAGCAATGTCAGCTTCGCGTATCTACACAAAATGACAAGCAAAGAGATAAAATCAAATAAGGCAAGTTTCTTGAACAATAATGGACCAAGGACTTGGTACATGCTTCTAACATCACAAGTTATACAACTCACCGTCTCAGCCAGGTTATAAACAAGGACAGAACTCATGACAGTTGCCAGAGCAAAAATCCTGCAAAAGCATACTCAGACAGCTAGCGAAATATACAAAATTTGAACGACCATGAAAGGAAAATTGAAGATTACATGATGACTTGGAGATTACCGGTCATCATATACGTTTGACTTCCCAACACTTTCAAATCCCTCAGTATCAAGATAAAACACAGAAGTTTTTACTCCATTAATATCCATTTCTACTGGGGTTCCCCATACCCAAATTCCTGTAAGAGGAAGACAGACATTGTAAATTTATATCTCAACAAAGAGTAAAGCATATCCATGACATCAAGGTTGCATCCACATTTACCTTTTGTCTTTGTGTCACGCATGTGTCCAACACCAAACCCTGTGGGGAAATGCATTTGAAATTTAAGGTTGTTAAATTGTTCAAACCAAACAAGCAATGCAGAACGATTAATCAAACAAGATCCACAAGGGAAGGGGGAAAAGTATAAACTAATAGGAGTCAAGACTACACCTTCATAACAAGAAAGGGAGAGCAGTTGGTTGAGCAAAAAAGATTTTCCAGAGCGATATGGCCCAATAACCTAAGCAGACAAGCATTTGAATAGAATCAAGATGGACCAAAAAAACAAAGCAAGTATACTTTATCTATAGAAAAGCAAGACTGGAGAAAACATTATGCACATGAATGTCATGAAACTCTTGAGGACAAAAACTTTTTCTCGTAATTTTCCATCATGAGTGTATCTACGGAGACTGAAAATATTTTGTTCCAGATGTAAACTTGCATTGAAATACATATTCAAAGTTTGGAAACTGTAAATATTATTTTTGCAGCTATCTCCAATATTCTGGACAGAAAGTATACTATTGCAACATGAATAACACTTTTTTTTTTGTCCAGGTTCAGTTTCCAATATATGACCAATCCCAAAGAAATATATGATCTGACCACAATGATCAAGCACAAACGTGGAACCAAAAGAATTTGAGATCCAATCAGATGCAGGTCTCCTTGTCTCATTCCATATTAGCCAACCTTCTCACTGAAAATCACTGCCCTGTAGCCTACGTGATACTACTACAAAGGTGAGGTCGTTCAACAACTGGTGGTGGGTTTGGGACGTGGAAGGGTACTCCATAACATGTAGCCTTCTCTTACTGCTTGATCAACAAAACATTTCAACTATATCCACATATATATAAACATCTAAGACTATCACTGAAAAGCAGTTCGGCAATGTAAATCATCCAAAGCTTGTATTATGTAATATAAACAAGCATATCCGTTGAGCTTTCTCTAAGAGAAAGGTCAATTGTGAGTACTAATTAAGCTAAGGAGAACGAATCTAAGTCTTACGGCAACAGCTGCAATTGGAGTTGTTATTCTTTCAATGGCCTCCAACCCTTCCCTTGAAAGACGAAGTTTTGTATGACCAGGATCTGGTTCCACAATAGGAAATCTGTATGTGCAATATCACACAAACATTAGCCACTTATGATATACATAATATTGGCAGAAAAGCAGCTATAATGGTTCGGCAACTACTGATCTCACAATCAAGGTAATAGAAAGTGTGCCATACGTGTAAGACGCAAAATTCACAGTACCACACAATTGAGGTAGGAAGCATAGTTTTCTTATGCTGTTTTTTTTTTCCGGTTACAAAGTTTCTTAAGTTCTTTGATTAATTTGCTCTCAAGTTCACATAGCTACCCCAATTATACCATATCAGGAAAATTCTACCAGCTTTAAGAACAAATTATTTACACTGGCACAAGGTGAATTTACATAACCGGATGATATGAATTATCAATTAGCTCATAATAATAATAAAATACACCGTTTATATAAAGCACATACTTCATGCTAACAACCACTAAACGACACAAATAATGTTTAGCAGTTTGGAACTATTTTTGCAACTTTAATGTTTCTAAAATTTGTTCCAAGAGGCTCCAAATGCACTCCCAGATCTAAAACAAAAGCAGCCAAATTTATCATCAACATCACTGAAAGCACAACAACTGCATTGCAACATTGTTCACCATACACAACAGTCAAGCATAAAAAATTCAGCTCCTACTACCCAAAAGCCAAACAAAAGTCATAAGCAATTCCAGTTGATCCCATTGGCATCAGACTCTCTTAGCAAAAAGAAACAAACTTCAGATTCAAAAACAAAAGCTGCAAACTTGCATGACACAAATCACTTACGCTTGGTGAAAATTCTCAATTGAGAGAGACCCAGATGCGAAAAGGCAGAGAACTATCGAAACAACACAAACCCAATAAGAAATCTCCATGGAAGAGACAGTGGCAGTGGCACAGAGGCCTTATCTCGCAAATGTGGCTGAGTTACAGGCAGGTTCACAGAGCTGTATGGACAAAGCAATCATGAGGAAGACGAAGAAGGCAATAAGCAATCGTGTTTAGCAGACAAACGCACTGAGCAATGGGATCTGGGAAGACGCAGAGATAAGTGTACGTTAAGAATCGTGCACCCACAAGCGGGCGGTTTTTGCTTCGGGTTCACACAGAGAGAGGAAAGCTCAGGACAATGGGTTTTGTCCCGAAAAGCAGAGGATTCCTGCCCCAAGAGAGAGGAAGTGGTCTGATGGGGTTTAACTGCGAATTTACGGATGAGTTCCAATTTTGGAGTCGGCTTCGGTGGAAGGAGAAGGGTATTTTAGTAAAATCGAAGATGTGTTCGACTAGGACTTTTTTTTTGGGTCAATATTCGAAGATGTGTTCGCCTAGGATTGGCAGCTGAAATCGAAAGGGAATCTGATTGGTTTGTGTACGTTGTTCTTCCTACGTTAACTTGGGAGGTATGTGAAGTGTTTCAACGGTAAACTGTTTCGGTGAAGCTTCAGGGTTTCAATCTAAACCAATCCAGTTTCTGTCTGAAAAGTTCAATTTTCCCTGTAACTTTTGTAATTTTAAAACAACTTAAAAGACAATCTTCACACACGGATCAAAATAATAAATATAAAATTGTAACAAAGTGAGATAATACATAATAAAAGCCATTATGTTCTGTTTGGTTCACGGAACTGATTTAAGGGGAAATCACTTTTCATGTTGTTTCCTAAGAAATGGGAAATGGAGATTCATTTCTAATGTTTAGTAATCCTGAGAAAGTAACTAAGAAATACCACATTATTTATTTTCACGGGACCTTAGGATTTAGGCCAGTGAAAAAGAGTTTTTACTTGCAAATCAGTGATTTCATGTTCAAATCCTCGTGTTACTTTAGCAATGTGTGTAAAAAAACCCTTCACACTCCCTAACTTTGCCCAAAAAAAAAAAAAGATAATACAAAATAAAATCAAATAAGCTTTCAATAAAAGTTCTCTAGTCCTAGCACTTGGACCAACAAAAACATTCCTTATAGCATTGGGGCCTGTCTTAATTTCAACCCAACCAGTAAAGCTCCTGGCACCTACCCATATCTGCATATAGATATAAGCTAGGATTTGATTAGAGTTTTTAGCCCATACATGAAGTGGGCTAGATTTTTCTTTTGTCAATCTCTTTTCTTTTTTCTTTTTTTCTTTTGGTGGGCTACTATAAGAGGCTTCGAGCCAACTCTCAGGGTGATATATATTGTAGGAGGCTAGGAGCCACTCTGGTTAGGGTTAGGCGGCTATATAGCCAGAAAGATTGGGTTAGACGTGTTGAATTAGGTTAAGGTCATTTTATAAGAGTGTTGAATTTAACTACATATAGTACCTAAAATTGACATCACCACCTTACTTTGCTGTTTGGGATCTTAAATGCGAGTCATCTCCTTAATGTTGACATATGAAGCATGAATCAAGCATCATCGCTATATCATTGTCTACGTACATGTGAGTAGTTGTCAACTGTTCATGTGTCACATATATTGATGACTAACAATCACTCACGCATATGCTCATGATGCGGACTATGTGACGCGGTCAGATTGAGGTTAGGGTAGGTCTAGTTCTTACCACACTCCCATACAGCAGGGATGTGGCATCATATACTGATAGCGCTAACTAGCTGTAATGCCAGAAGGGTATGGTTGATGGGTAGGACGTTCCTTTAGTTTTGCCATTTTGACAAATTTTTCATCTGCAAAACCAAACAGAAAATAAAGTAAGTTTGTACACATTCTTTGAATTTATTGCCAAAAGGAACCCACTTTTGACAAGTCCTGCAGCTCAGGCAGGGGGTGAAAAGCTGGCCATACCATAGCATCATCATATAACACATTTTTCTGATTATATTCTGCGAAGTGGTCCATGAGAGAGAGAGAGAGAGAGAGAGAGAGAGATTGGATTGGTTTAGTTTGGAGGCACAGCACAAGCGTAGGGGAGGGAGGTCATGTCATTTGTTTGGATCATCAGACATGAAACGAAACTCTCGTGTCCCTTGCACCGACAGACAAAAGAGAGTTTTGAATGTCACAACAACACATGGGGAAGAAATAAAGAATCAATTTTTCTTCTTCTTCTTCTTGACCTTCTCAATTTCTTGTTAGCTTGGCCTAGCTAGCTAGGGCAAAAAGTGGCAGTGCCGGGCTTCAGAGGTCATTTGATTTGTTATTTTCCAAAAAAGAGAGACCGTTGATCGTATATTGGTTGTCCATTTTTTATTTCTTTATCAAAGAACGAACAAGAGTTATGCTAACATTAATTATCAAAGCGCTTTGTTATCATACATTAACGAAACATTAGCGTGTCTATGATTAATAAATGATTGAAATATGTTTACGTATATATGACTGTTATTATGTCATTAATCAACATAATTAGCAAATTGGACGATTTGGAGACTTTCTCTGCAACAACTAAAAGGTGTAGCCGTGGGTCCCAATCTTTTATATTGATTTTTCTTCATTTTTCTTCTCTTTTCTCGAGTGGGTCCCGCTAGTAAGGGATGTAAAAATAGATGTAAATATATATTTTATTTTACATCCTCATGGTGGTGATGTCAATTTACATCCATTTACATCTCTCTATTGGAGATCATTCTAGTGACTCAGAGTGTATATTTAACATACACTCCCATACACACCCCATCGTAGATGCTCTAACACAATAGTGATTGGAACATATCCTTGTGCAGATTTGGTGAATAATAAAAGTAATGAGAGGCAAGGACAAAATCATGCACTTGTGCAGAGAGGGAGCCTTTGCCTCCCAAGACAGCAGAATCCCAACGTCTGAGACTCTGAGCAGTCCACTAAGCTGAACAAGGCTGACTACTTTTTAAAAAAGCCATTCTACATTACATATTTTTCAAGCATGCAATTCTTCCTACCAAGGTCAAAAATTATTTTTTTTTTTAATTTCTGCATTTCCCAAATGAATGCTTCAGAAAGTGCCATCTGTTGCACCATGAAAAACCCATTTGATAATGCAAACTGACGTTCCCCTCTGACCAAGGAACCAAAGATCAAAACGCCTAGTTTCGTGGTCCAGAAGCGAACAAGGGCACAGGAAAAAATGGACCACCTGTCCCCTTTTATTTTATTTAAAAAAAAACAAAAATGAAATAAAATACACGTGTAATGTGGATAAGTTAGAAGAAAAAAACTTTTGGATAAAGCAGAGTTTTAAATGCTATTAAACAATTATAGTAAAGCAAAGAATCAAAGCTCTTTGCAAACTTCACCAAATTGGGGCTTTTTTTCCTTCTTTTTTTCTCATTTTTATATCCCACAACAAGCAACCCAGTTTTTCAAGGACAAGCTACCCAAATTTGTGTTTCGCGATTGGGTTTAACTGAAGTAGGTGGGGGGTTGCTTTCACAAAGTAAAACATTGATCTCAGGCATTATGGACATTAGCTTAACTAGAAATTCTCTTATGTAGGCGTTCGGACATTATTACGGTGCAAACGCAATGTATTTTTTACTATTTATGTTTTTATCACTGTTTACAATGGCATTCGCACAATAATAACGTATAGACATCTGAAAGAGAGAATAATTGTTATGTATTATTACGGAATTGACCCCATCACATGCCAATTATAATAGCGAAATGGATAGGAGGAGCTTTCAAATTTTAAATACACTAAAAATGTTACTAAATTTTATGGACGCAGTGCAATGATTGTTCTGTGACTCAAAATACGCAATATATAAATTAATTGCAGTTTCCCATAAAACTTGTGGACCCGAGATGGTTCAGTACGAGGCTCATTAACGACAATATTTATTTATTTTTGGTGTTAGGGTTTAGAAGAAGGGTTTTCAGTTTTCTTATTTTTCTTTTTGGTAATAAAAAGGGTTTTCAGTTTCACTTTCATGTGTGTGGTTGAATTGAAGGATTAGAATTAGAACAGATAGCAGTTCCAAACAACGTGTTTGGGATTTTTACGTGTTTTGGACGTTTTCTATGCGATTAATGCGTAAAGTTGGCACCACCACCGACTAGTTTGATCTTCTGTGTTGACATTTTGCCCTAGTTTTCTATTTGTTGTGGCAATTTCTTCCTCTTTTTGGTGGTTGAATTATGTAGCAACCCACTAAATATTGCAAAGCCTTCCTCACTCGAGCTGTTTTTTGAAGAAATATTTCTTTATACCTGTTTCATTGTCTCTCTTTCCGTTTCATTGATTTGTTTCATTGTCTCTCTTCCCGTTTCATTGATTGTATACTCTCTATCCTTTCCTCTACTGCTAAGTGACACGAGGATGGAAAGAGGGCAATGAAACGAGAATAAGAAGTTTCTCTTCCTGTTTTAATTCTGCATAAGCAAAGAAGACAAAACCCATCAAGTACTAATTTAAGAAATTTAACGATGAAAATTGGGAATATAAGTAAGATATGCCACATTCAAGAACCATATGGGAGGGATGATGCCCTGTTCTTTTACCAATAAACGTTTGTGTAGAAAATTCATGCCCAAAAGATTAATCAAAATTCCACTTCCCTTTTTTCTTTTGGCATCGCAGAAACATGATGCTGGGAGGAGAATCTCACAGCTCCCCAGACAGCACGAGCCTGTTCTCACTTATCCTCAGTCTTCATCATCGAATTCTGTTGCTCATCTTCTCCTCCATTAAACAATAAACAATTAAACATCATAAACCCCCAAAAAGAAAAAGAAAAACATAAAACAGCAGACAAAAAATTCACCTTTTGCTCTTTTCCTTGATTTCACAGAGACTAATATCAACTTGAAACAAGCAGAGGACAAACTATTTTAAAGCTAATTTCTTTGAGAGTTTTTATTGCTATCAGTAAATCCGACCCTTACATCAAAAACATAGAAGGGATCAAACGCTTATATAGGCATATACAGGCATATACTATCTTTCAGTTCCTCTTAACAGTCAAAAAACAAGAAGAAGAAAAAACATCCCAAAAAAATATAAAAAATATTATATCAAAATTTTTATCGCTCATTTTCCATGACAGAAGCCAAACCAGTCACCATCTTAACCCCTGTCTGCGATGTCCTGGGCTTCAACTCCGGCGGTTTCCATTCCTTCGCCACCATCGCCTTCTCTTCCTCACCCGAACTCTCCGACAGCTCAAATACCGACTCGTCCAACTCAGTCTCAACCACCGAGTTCGTCCCGCTCTGACTCAGCTCAAACTCGCCGGTCTCGATCAAAGGCTCAGTCTTTTCTTCGGTCATCGAATCGGACGGTGAAGATGAAGCTCTGGTGTGAGGAGACAGCCACTTGGCCTTGATGTACTCTGCTTTCCTCCATGGCGGAATGTGCATCCCCTTCTTCTTCAAGCTCTGCTTCGCCGCCTCCGATACGATTTTGATGATCCTCCACAGCCGATCAGGCTTCCCAACGAAGATGTACGGAAGCGTCTGCAGAATCGCTTTGTAGCTCTTCGTCGGCCGAGCAATTTCGAACTCCGATCTGAAATCGATGTCGATTAGCAATCTCTCCCCTTTGACGATCACGTCTATGTAATCATATTCTCCTGCAAGATCATCAACATCGCAAAATCAGAAGAAAAAAATCACTCTTTTTCGCTTCCTACATTTTCTCCGCAGTAAAACGGTGCCGTATCCATTGATATTTTTGTTAGGTGTGGGGAGAGAGAGATTACCGGCGTGATAGGAAGGGGTTTTTTCCCAGCGGGATTTGCAGACCGACGCGTCGTATCCGAGAGCAAACAGAAGATCAGTAACGACGGTTCTGCAGATGTCGTCTTTGCGCTTGCACACCTTGTTTTTCTCAACGATCTTCGCGGTGTCCGCTAGCAAATTCCTCTCATTCACACTTTGGCATGAAACCAAACCCTGTCGTCCAAAAAAGGAAACAAATTTTTATTTCTACTTTAATTTTTAAAAAATTCAATAACAAACGAAGTCTCTGTTTTTGAAGTTGTTAAACACAGAAAATCAGATATTTTACCTTAAGCAGCTCACACGCTTCGCCAGAGGAGGCCAAGTTGGAATCACCGAAACCGCCAAACGCCTCCAATTCGTCTTCGGAACTGTCGTTGCAGTTTCCGTTAAAGCAGTTGCAGCGGTTCCGGCTGCACCGCGCCACAGCCGATTGCTTCTCGTTGCTCTCCTCCATGAAACTCTGGACCATCTTCGCCAAGCACACCGAGCTCGGCTCGAACTCGCCCGACCCACCGCCGCCGCCGCCGAAGCCGTCCTTGTTGAAATGCGGCTCCTCCATGCCGATTCCGCCGCCGCCCTTCTCCGCCGCGGCGGAGCTTCTCAATACGTTTGTGAATGGACGCTCGAAGAGCCGCTTGAGCCGAGACTTGGCCACCGGCTTGACCGCCTCGAACCTGGTTGCGTCTTCAGGACTCGTGCGAAAATCGATTGGTTGGATTTTCATTGGGAAAGGCATGATCGGTGCGATCAAATTCACGGAAAGAAAAAAACTCTCTCTCTCTCTCTCTCTCAGAATCTCCGATCTTCAAAAACCAGTATTTTCTCCATTTCCACTAGGCTAAAGCTTGTTCTTGAGTTTCCTAGTGAAAAAAATTACACCAAATTCTCTAGCTCTTATACTATCAATTATTTTCTCAGACAACTCGCACTCAATTTCAAAATTCGAGAATGAAGAAACTTAAACTAAAATTTTGCGAAAGCAGAAATTCAAACTCCAAAACAAAAAAGGCAGAGGGTTCTAATGCCGATACATCGATCAAAACCTTCACTGACAACTCTGCAGCATCTTCTCTCGACTGAGATCGATGAACGGAATCGACCCAGAAATCCAGAAAATTTTGCCAAAAATCAATGCTGATTATCTAAATTCGAGGCTCTTAAGCGAGAACAACAAGTACCTTTTAATCTCCGATTATTATATAGTTTCCTTGCCTCCAATTTGCGAAACAAAGCATGGAATAACTTCGAAACTCTGCCAAGTAAAAGTCGCTTTTGCGTAGGATTTTCTCTGATACGGTTAGGGTTCCCGAGATACGCGAAGGCGCGAGAACGTCATGATGCTGCTGGTTATCCTGCTTTCGTCATTAGGCAGACGATCGGGAGCCGAAACTCCATTTTTCCCGGCGACGGAACCTAGAAAAATCAGAGAGAGGGAGAGAGAGGTGAAAGGTGAAAATGAAATGAGAGCTTCCTCTGTTTAAACAGCTATAGAGTCCACAGAGCAGATGGTGTGAGCTATAAAAAGAGGAGGGGAGGGTACTGCTGACTGGGACTTGACTGCCACATGTAAATCCTACGTGGCATAGTATCTAATCCGTCGTGGGTGAGGCACGTGTCTCGGCCGAACCCGGTTCGTTGTGCTGTCGTTGGTCCCGGGTGACACGTTATGGTCTGGTTGCGACGTGGCGACTTGGGTCCGCATTTTCCATGACGAAAATATCCTCAGCATTTTGGTGAAATGACGGGGTGGTTTCCCCCTCGTGATACGGAGGCTCTCAAATCCCAAAACCGCCTCAATTTCCAAAAACCATCATCTGTTATGGTTTATTTTTTATTTTTTTAAGATTGTGTTCTGACGGAAATATCCTCTGCCAGGTACAGATGAGAGTTTAATTGGGACAAATTTTGCGGCCACATGGCTGAACGCGCACTAGGGTCGTATTGTCATTTCATCCTTCTAACTCCCAAGTTAAAATTGCGGTGGTTGGCGCGCCTTCTTTGACATAAAAGCCCTTGGTGAACCTGAAATTAACACGGTTCCTTTTTTCTTTTCCGTAGTAACTTTTTTGCTTTATTTTCTGGAAGCTTTTTTCTTAACCAATTTTCCAGAAGTACGCGTGTAGTAATGGTAACTAGTTTTTTTTTTGTTTTTTTTTTTTGTCAAACATGGTAAATAGCTATTGGGCCCCCATAAAAATTATCAAATTTCTATTACAAATGAAATTCCTCTTTTTTAAGTGTAGATTAAAAACCATTTTTCAAGAAGTCCCGTTTTAGTAATGGTAACTATTTTTTTTTTTGTTTTTTTTTTTTGTCAAACATGGTAAATAGCTATTGGGCCCCCATAAAAATTATCAAATTTCTATTACAAATGAAATTCCTCTTTTTTAAGTGTAGATTAAAAATACACCATAATTTGGATTATAAATCAAATGCTATATAAGAATTGTGGAGAAAGACTTTCATGAAATGATAATAACACTATTGTGCTATCTCGACTAATAATACTATAACACTCGTGATAATACTTCCACATAACATAACATTATTGGCCGAAAATTATAAAACAGTGTTATTCCTGTAGCAATTAAGTTTGTCTCCGATAATGAGGTAAAATTTGTGAGAAGGTTGGGAAACCAAAGTGATGGGGAAAAGCTATAAAGAAATAAAAACGATAAGTGAAAAAAATGAAAGCCTGGGCCAAGAAAATCATACAAAGAGAGGTGATGGGGTCCACATTCAATGACCGTTGGTTACTTGGTGCCACTTTTATTTTTCTCTTCTTTTTCCAAAAAGGAAACTTGGATTGGATATTGCTGAAACCGGAAGCAGGGCTTATTTTGGGAAAGCAGGGGCATTTTCCTTTTCTTGATGAAAAGCGGTTGGTTTGTGTAATGTCAGTTATGTCTCGTTTCTGTGATCTTCAGACACGTGTCATATACGTGGTGGTGAGAGCCGTTAGATTTCATCAGAGTAACCCCCGTTCAAAATTTAAATCCCATCGCTGTCGTTTGCGAGAGAAAGTGGAGAGAAAAAAGTTGGGTTTGGATAAGTCCAGATTTCAAGCCCGTTCACAGAACTAGCCCATTGATTTCATGCGGACAAAACTAAGGTAATGTGGGTTTAAAAAGAAAAATAAAGTGTTAGAATTTCAGGTAAAAATGGGCCCTCAAGTACACTATTAAAATTGCAATATGCCCCACTGAAATTACGTACTCTCTAGATGGTCCCCAATGTTTACACTTATTGTGATAACGCCACTTGATGTGACCTTATGACGAGTACAAGTCCTTTGTGTTTTATCCACACAAAAACTCAAAATTATTGAACATCCTTTGGGTCACCATTGCCTTGACTTTGAAGGATCCACAAGAAAGAGGAGGAAATGTATGGACACTGCTTCTCTCCTTCTCCAGAAAGAGACATTTTTATTTCCCGCAAATTACAGTTTGATGCATATGCAAAAATAATTTATCAAAAAGAAAACTATATGCACACATATCAAACTGTAATTGGCAAAAAAGTATGAATTCCTAATTCCAAGGAAGGAAGCAAGTGTTTTTCAAAATGTATTGTCATGTCAAATATGCTAGTTATAGTAGCTTACGATCTCACGGCCCACATTTGTATGTGTGATTCATAATGAATGAGCATCAATGGCGGGTTTTTTTTTTTTTCCTTTTGTTGTTACTTGTGGGGTTGAATAAGGTATAGTGTGGATAATCGTAGTTTATTGAGTTGATAAATGAGGGTTTTTTCTTAGACTAATGCTTGCTTTGAGGAGGGTGCATCCAAATCGAATCTTAAAATGATAAACTATTCCACAAGCATTGCCAAAACAATAATTAATCACCCAAATTTAAAACACAACGTTAATTGGGGTTTTGGTCAACTTCGTTATAAAGAAATGCGATGCCTTAAGGAGAAGTCAAGCGTTCCCTCTGCTGTTTTTACATCTTGCAGGCTTGTAATATAAAACAATGCTCTATGGTCTTTAATTATAATTATGACGTGATGAAATGGTTAGTGCCTTATTAATCCTCTTCTTAATCTATGATATCTATCTATCTTGGGTTTTTGGGTTTCACATTACAAGTTACAACTACTTCAACGAAATTATTGAGGTCAATACTCAATATGATACCAATCATTCTTATACATTGGTCGAAAAATATACATTTATATATATTTTAACTCAAGATAATGGATAGTGAGAGTTGAAATCTTGATGTAGATGTACGGGGTGTGACCTAAATGCTCTATTGAGTATGTTCAATCTTTTGTAGTATATATGTATAAGACAAGAAGTTTGTCGAGAAAGATTAACGAGACTATATACTTTGGATTTAGATACCGCATTAGGGAACCCTGGGAGAGCCGCCGACTCCAACTACCGTCCACGTATGAGCTTTTGCTCATGGAGCTATATTTTTTATTAGAGATTACAATCCGGAACATAATGAGGATAATGTAATGGCAAACAATTTGAAGTACCTTTTCTTGCGTATTCTTGATAAACCAATGTTTATATATAGATGTAGGAAGATCTGCTTGGAAAGTAAGAAGCCCCTTTGACATCTCTTCATCTGTAAAGAATTATCGATGTGAAAACACAGAGATAATCATAAAAGGCTGATCTTTGAATAGGAAAAAGAGTGAATCTGTAGGGTCCCAAATGAATTGGACGAATCCATAGGGTCCCAAAATGAATTGGACCATAGCCATACTATCATTATCTACACAATTCAAATAATAAAAAGTCCAATTATCTTTTATGTGACTTTATGTATATTCATGATCAAATATGGCGTTGCACTATCCTTGTATTTTTCCTCGATAAGGAATTTACTCGAAAGCATGGGAAAGACTGAGTGGATGATCCATAATTAAAGGTATGGTAAAGCTTATGCTTATTTCTCAAAGTCAGGTTTTGCCTTAGCTGTTATCATTTAGTTGCTTAGGATAAGTATATATGGCAGAAATTTGTTTGCTTTTCTTTGGTTGTGCATGGAAGGTGCACAAAACATTACCTCCCATTTCCAGAGATTAGCACTTTATAAAAGAATTGATTTTACTTTTTTTATGGACATGACCAAATTTTTGCTTTTCCAACATGGGGGTTCTCATCATTTTGAGGTTCAAATGCCCTCAACGTGTCATGATTTGCTTAGTTTTGTTATGAATAAGCAATTGTTCCATCGTTTTCTTGAAAATAATGGTTTTGAATTTATTTATATAATAATATAAACAGTACTTCCCTCCTCATGTAAGTAAAAACTTATATATCCATGCGAATAGCAGTATGATACGCGTGCGAAAAAATTTCTTTTTATAATTTTTATGAATTATTTTTGCATATATATCAAACTGCGATTCGCATAAAAAAGAAGTATGAAGCAAACAAACAAGCAAGTAGTATCCTAATCATGTTACATAATTTCCTCTTTGCATAACAACTCACAAAGTGCATCACCTGCTTGAAATCGAAAGCTAGCTGTTTACCATAACGAAATTGGAAGCTAGCTTTGATGTGATAATTACTTAGTCGGAATAATTACCACTATGTAAATATGAAAACCCTATACGTGTCATTTACTTGACAGAGTCATGGTTTCCCTTTAAGACTACCAAATCTAAACGGGTGATTTTTAATTAATTTTTTTTTGTAAAAGATAAACTACATTAATCACAACAAAACTTTGATAATATCACCCAATTTGATTTTTTTTTTGTCGAAATCACCCAATTTGATTAGAAAACCAAATTAATTATTACGTATCTTGTCATTATTCTGATATGCGAAGACATTTAATTTTAATTTACTTTTCCTTTTATTGATCCAAAGTCTTTTTTTTATTATCTTTTTTGATAACTTGTCTTATTAAAAGGAACGATAGTGTACTAAACTCACAAAGTACACGAATGCTATGATTCGAACCCAAGACCTTATTTAAATACTCTAAACTACTACATTAGTGGGTCATTTACCAAAGTTTTTTTTCTGCGTATTAAACAACAATGATTTGGAATTAACATTCGAATCCTTTTTGTGTAAGTCAATATCTGGTCAACCAGCAAGAAATTAACACATACACACAACAAGTGCCTCCCTCTCGGGCTGGATTTCAGTTGTGGGCCCTATAGAAGGATGGAGAACAGCTTTAGGGTCAGTAGGCCCCACACACGTCTATGTCCTTTCTTGGTGGGCCTCCAAAATAAAATGTTGTCTGGACTAAATACCCATCTAAAACGACATGCCGTGTCAAATGGGCTTCTTTTTCCAAATAGGCCGATGTGTGTATAAATAAAATGGCGCTTTCATAAATAGACATAACAAGACATTTTTTAATATAAAAAAAAACTTTATGGTAAATTACTCTGGTCCTCAAACTTATACTCGGTTTACATTTTGGTCTCTCAATTAAATTATTCATTCAAATTGTTCATCAACTCTATATTATTTGCTCAATTGGTCTTACCGTTACATTATATCAATATTTTTGTTAAATATGAGGACAAATTGGTTATTATTTACCCTAAAATTAGGTTAAATCTAATAGAAAATTAGACGGTATGACCACTTGAGTGAATAATATAAAGTTGATGGACCATTTGAACGAATAATTTAGTTAAGGGACCAAAATGTAAATCAGGTATAAGTTTGAAGATCATTTGAGTAATTTACCCAAAACCTTTAAGTCTAATGTTTTTTGTATAAATAGACTTTCTAAATTTTTTTGTATAAAATGACGTATTAAAATGGCCCTATTGTGAAAAGCTAAAATTAAAATTGTGGTAGTAGATGAAACCCTTATCATATGGTTGGACCATAATTTTATTCTTACTATAGTTTTTTTTTTTTGTTGCTAAGTAACTTTTATCAACAGTGATTCATCGAAAAAACTTGTGTGTTAAAATTGGTTTCCACAACACATCACCACCATGTAAAAGGGAAATCCTATCAAACAAAACTATATACCTATACATCCCTATAAAGCAAAACTCCATAAAAAAAGAAGAAGAGATATTTAGTGATATACTTATTCTTAGCACTAATATTATAAATAAACCCTACACCATTGAATTTCTATAAACAAACCCAAAAAAAATCCAAAAAATGATAGTTAGCCTTATTGAATTTAATATTAATTGTTAAATTACTTTGATGCCCTATTGAGTGTTTTGGGTATTTTTATGAGATTTTAGGATTGAGCTTGTTTTAAAAAATTGATGGCAGTTTTGTAATTTATAAGAAGTTAAAACCCTTTTTGTTATGTTGTAAATGGATTTTGGGTGTGTTTTTAAAGTCCATTTCGTATGATGTATTTTTATAATATGGGCCCTTATATTAGGTATAATAGTGAATCTCCAAAAAAATAAACATACCTTAAGTCTCATACCAAATTTCATTTAAGAATAAAGTTAATATTGCCCACATAAAATAACCAACTATATTCCAAAAAAGAAAGAAAAATTAGTAAGGTCATTTCTTCTCCTCAATAATTTTTGGTTTTTATATCCAAGATTGCATGTGTCACACACACACACGCGAGCAATAATCTAAATTATAAAGTAAGGGTTATTCACATACACTCACACACTATAAATGTGTCATGGTAGTTCGAACCTGAGACCACTGGTATGCAAATCAATACCATTTTTCACTCGACTAGACCCTATTGACCATATTAATTATAATATCTTTATACAACAAGAATAATGTAGATCCAATTTATAAACCTTTAATATACATGGGCATCTTTGTGTACGAAACTATTAAGATGAATTTTGCTCTATGTGTCGTCCACTTGTTTGCCATTTTGTGGTGTGACATGTTATGTCAAGTCATAATCAGACTTATCTTGAGTTTTATGTTTTTTCTAGTTTCTTAATTATGTCGGTTGTTCTTTTGGAGTGGCTTGTATTTGAAATCTTTTTTTCTTTTTCTTTTTTATAAAGTTTTTTTTAATAAATTTATCTTACGAATCAAATCCCTTCGAAATATACAAGCTTATCAAGTCTCAAAGAAAACTCACTTTCTACCAAGCAAAATAATAATAATTTACACAAATAATTCAGCCAATTCTTATGGTTTGCGAAGTGTAGTCCATATCATCATCATCAAACCCTATACTTTTTTTTTCATTTTTCTCCATGCATTTGCTTTCCCTGGTTTTCAATCCCTTTCCTCTTGCACAACCCGTTTTTCTTTAGTTTCTACTTTCTTCTGAAGAAACCCATTGACATTTTTGGTACAAGATAGCAAAGCTAGTGAATAAAAGGTAAACTAGGGTAGAAATGAGGTGACAAATGTTTTTGATCCATTGTACATGGCACTTCTTTGCAGTAAAACAGTGAATTACTATGTTTAAAATTACACACGGTGGAAAAATCTGAGTCACAAGTTCTACAGCTCTGAATTTCTTGCAGTCACTTATTAGGCACAAAAGCAATGGCCTTTCACTTTTTTGACTTTTTATAAAGGTTCATTAATTTATGGGTTTTTTGTTAAACCAAAAAAATAAAAAGGGTGCCAGGCAAAAGCACCATTAATTATTTTTCTTTGTGATGTTGCCCTTGGGGTCAGTAAGTCTCCTTTAAACCAAAACAAAATCTCCACTCATTCTTTTGCTTTAACTTTTGTTATCATTTTTGTTTTCCACAAAACATCCATGGGAGACATCTTCCTGATTTTCTTCATTTTGGAGCCAGGTGGCTACACAAGGATGCATGAGGCTTAAAGAATTTTCAATTACCAATTGATTGCAGCAAAGTTAGGACCCTACACATTCATTATACACATAGAAAGTCTCACACTCAAGGTTAATTTATTTATACTTTAAGGTAAAGTGTGCAAACCTAGTGAAATGGGAAAGAGAAGCAATGTGAAAAATGAATGCATTTAGCCCTTCAAATATCATATCTTCCAAATTCTTTGCAACTAATAGCATCCGTAATGGCTATCTAAATCACTTCTTTAGATAAATTTTAAGGAAGAATTGAAAAAATACAATTCTAACCATGCTTCCTATCCACCTCTTAAGATAGGGAGACCTCTAGGAGCTCCTAAATATGAGGAGAGAAAAAAGACTCCTAGTGGCTCCCTATAATTTGTTTTATGCATATTTTAAACTTGTAATTAACACTAGCTATTTTTTCATACTATTTTTTATATCAATTATATTGAATTAAAAAAAGGGAGTTTCACTAAAACACCCAAAATGGAGGTTGAAATTATAAAAAAACCCAACACCCAAAACACTTTATAAACACACCCAAAACCCATCATTACACACACTCAAAACTCATTTATAAACACACCCAAAAAGTTGACTTTGGGGTTGATTTTGGGTGTGTTTCTATGTTTAAATAATGCTTGGGTTTTTTTATAAATACATGTCTAGAATTGGGTTTATTTATAAATTTGTATTAAAAAAATAATTATAATATTTATGACTCCCTAAACAAGATAGTATCATTGGAGTTCAAATTTTATAGAGAACTCCTAAAAAAGCTTTTGTGTGTATTTAGCTAATATTTTTTATAAAAAAAATTTGTGAAAACAGAGAGCATGATTGTAGATGCTCTAAAAATAATTCATTAAAAAAAACCCCAAAGAAATAGAAAAATAAAAAATAAAAAATTCATTAAAGCTCACAGGGGAACAAAAAGAAGAAAACCCAGACAGAGGAGAAGGTCTTAACCCCAAGACCAACATACAAAAAACTAGACCCCACGAAAGTGTGGAGCAACAAACCCCAAAAACTAAGCCCAAAACAACCCCACATTGCCAACTTCCTACCGTTCGGGCGGGCCTGCTAGGTTTCCAATCCTTTTGGGCTTTGCCCAATTTAATTATCTTTAATAAATTTAAAATTTCAAGAATAGACAAAATAAACCCATTTTTACTAAAATTTGAGATGCAACCTATTAATATTATTTATACAATCGATATTCTACTATAAATTATGGAGAGGAGGATTCGAATTCAGTTGCAGTGTGGAGAGCACTTCCATTTTAGCTAACTTGACTAAGCCCATACCTGCGAGATGCAACTCATTATTTAATAATACAAAAGATGTAACTTCCTACCCCCCAAAAAAGAAAAGGACATGAAGGCTTGGCAATAGACAACAGTGGGAAAGATGTAAAAGATTTGGTGAGCTTTGGGGGAGGGGTGGAGTTGGTAAAGTGGGAAAAATTTGAAATCGAAATTGGGAAATTTTCCAATTTCCCACCCAAAAGAAACCGCCTTTTGGTCTGACCACATTTAAAACAAACCGAAACCCGCTCCATATTCACGACCCGCTTTGGATAAAATACGCACACTCTCCTCCAAAACTTCTTTCCCTCTTAATTTTCCTATCTCTACAGTTCCCTTCCTTCTTCAGCTTCCCGAGAACCCTTCAAGTTTTTTTTCCTCTCTCTCTCTCTCTCTCTCTCTGTGTTAATCTGTGTTAGATTTCTCTCTCTAAACCTCTCTTTGTGCTCTCGTAGAGAATTGTGTTTCTAGATTAGGGTTTTTTCTTCACTTTCTTTGGATACTGCTTTGTTGACTTTACCAATTTTTCATTTTTGGGTTCGGCGAGCGGAGCTAAGCCCAGATCTAGACCCTTTTCTTCGTTTGAAGTTTGTGGTTTGTACAATTTTGTACTCTATATTTAAACTTGAATTTTCTGAATTTTCCCACTTTGATCTCATCGATACTTTTACAGATCTGGTTCTCGTTTCGCTTCATCAACCGAGTTTGGATATTTATTTATTTTTGTTTGTAAATACTTAGTCTAGATTTGCCTTCATTTTATTCACCGACGGTGTTTCAGTGTCAGATTTGCATAACTTTCTCCTAAATATTTTTCTGTTTATTAAAATCAGAATTTCAACTTGCTCTGAAGTCCTGATTGGTTTAGCTTTTTAGGTCTCCTGTTTATCTTATCGTTTTGGGTTTTATTATTTTATTATTTGTGAATTTTGAAAATAATTTTTACAGACAGAAATGGCGGGCAAAGGCGGGAAGGGGCTTTTGGCAGCGAAAACCACAGCAGCTAACAAGGACAAGGAGAAGGAGAAGGACAAGAAGAGGCCTGTTTCCCGTTCATCTCGTGCTGGTATCCAGGTATTCCTCGAAATTTTCAATTCATTAAATCCTCTAATTTATTAAATTCATAGAATCTGAACCAAAATACTTGTTGTGATCATGTTTATTGCTCATGAGTTGCATTGGATTAGTTTAATTTGTGTTGTTGGTGTTGCTTTTGCAATTGGGTATGTGTAGTTTCCGGTGGGTCGAATTCACAGGCAGCTGAAATCCAGAATTGCAGCACATGGCCGCGTTGGAGCCAATGCTGCCGTGTACTTGGCCTCAATCCTTGAGTACCTGACAGCTGAGGTTCTCGAGTTGGCTGGAAATGCAAGCAAAGATCTCAAGGTGAAGAGAATCACACCAAGGCATCTGCAACTGGCCATTAGGGGAGATGAAGAGCTTGACACTCTCATCAAAGGAACCATCGCTGGTGGTGGTGTCATCCCCCACATTCACAAGTCCCTCATCAACAAGACCTCCAAGGAGTGATGAAGCTGATGATTTTTAATTGGGTTATCTCCACTGATGTTTGTGTTTAATATGACGACTCTGTTTTAGTTTGGTATTTTAGTAGTTGTTTAGGTTAGCTGGGTTTGTTAGTAGTAGTACATATGGGCAATCTGGTTGTTTGTCCTTTCGAACTGGTAGCACTTTGTTCATGTTTATGTGTTTTGTTGGATAGTTTTAAGTTTTAACCAGGATTCATCTCTGTCTTTATTGAACGTTCTGTCTTTTAATTTGTGCTTTTGGTTGCTGTTAAATGATTGTTGCAAATGAAAGTTCCTTGTACTGAGGCAAAAGATTAATTTGTAGTTTAGTCATCAAATCTTTCAGTCTTGTGTGATTGAAGCATTAGCCAGCAATTGAACAAGTAAGAGGAACCAATATTTTTGTATGTTTGGCATTTGATCCTAGTCAATGGCTCAGTGGGCAGTTGGGTTGTCTTTGTGCTAATTGAAATAGCCATTGATGATGAATATAGCAAGCTTAGGACATGAGATTACCATTTCAATTACATCTGGGATTTTTTTCGCTTAAATTATTTATGAATGCAAAATCAACAATTTGACAATAATATATTGATTACCAAGTCTCCCTTTCCTAATTTTTTGGGGCATCTTGCTAAGTCACCTCTCTGATTTAAATATTTGCTAGTTGGATTTTAGATATGGGGAGATGACAATCCAAGTTGCCTTTTCATAATACTTATGAATTGATCTCAATTTTATGCGGGCTTTCACTAGCCATTTTGTTTATGTTTCTGTGCTTGACTTTTGGGTTTATCTTGGTCTCTTCACGGCCCAACTTTGCATTATTATCGACCAATAAAATATAGTCATTCTATATATGGCCTTTAGATGAGGTTTTATCTCTTCATTGTTGGATTAGACTAATTAATTTGATTCAACGGCTAACTAATTTGATCTAGAAGTTGAGAGGTACGGCCTTACCTAAAGGCCATATATAACGCTCTTACTATTGAATTCTTGATAAAATACAATCATCAAACCCATTTCATTCAAATAGCTCAAATAGATTAACAATGAGAGAGCTGACAAGGCGGGAAATGACATCTAAACTGTAATAAAATACAATTTGGATGCTCTTGTGACAACATGGGAAATGTCATCTAAATGTGATTAAATATAAGTTAGATGCTTATGCGATCCTTCGAAGCTTGGACTTGGTAACAAACAAAAAACAACCAAGAAGCTACAATGGGTAGGCGGATCGATGTGCACGTGTGTAGATCGATACTCGCAGTATGTAGTTTACCCTAAATTTCAATCCTCAAACAATGTTTCATATGTTCCACATTATTATAAAGGCCGGACTTTGAGCTTCTATGGGTTAAATCATAAAAAGTAGAACCTGAAACAAGTTATCATCAGAATTACTGTTGTGGAGAAAACTCCCAATAATCTTCTTGTTGATGGACGAACATTAGACAAATACACAATGGCTGTGTCAAACACTCATACACACACACACACACTGAAATAACCAACCACAAAGGACACAACAATTTATAGAGGTTCGGCAATTTGCTGCATCCTCTTTGGTGAAAGATTACAATTTTGGTTTACCAATAAAAAGCCCTCTTAGAACACTACCCTCACATTCTGTTTCTCTCTCACCCCTTGCTCAACGCTTTGATGTTGGTTTTCTCTCTTACTCACTAGCTCTCAGCTACTTGGCTCTCTTGCATTAGTTCCCCTTTATAATGCTGGTGTAGCTAAGCCTTTGAACTTAGGAGGAAGCTTCCTCCAGCTGCACACCCAACTTTCAGCCACCCTACCTAGAGCCAAAGAGTAGGGGGATCATGAAACAAATCAACAAACTTCCATAAATGCCTAACTCTCCCAACAAATTGCCAACCTCTCTAGAGCTTATAAATGACTTAGGTGGTACTTGCATTGAAATGGAGAAGCAAAGCACAAGGAGAGAAGTCCTTGTGTTGCTCCAGACTTAACTTCTTTGCATCTTTTAGGTGAGCCAATTGTTTTCCCAACAGTTACAAATTGATTAACAAGTTAATTTACACAGGGACATAGCAACTCCGTTGATGTTACCCACTAGGCTAACCAATGTTTTGCCGCTGACGTTACTCTCAATTTATGTTTGGTTTTGTTTTTACCAAATACCTTATTATTTTACTTCCACTTGGAAATTGGCTCCGACCAAATTCCCAATACATCAATACAAACAAATGAATAATCAAAAGGCATCTTTCAAGAGTTTGAAGTTGGCATCATTCCAAAACTACAGGATATCTGATATGGGCTTTCCTTAAAATGCTCACCATGCACTTCTTGTTTTCATTCATTACCATCTCTCTCTCTCTCTCTCTCTCCCCCCACAAAAATAACCGTATAAACAACATCTCCTTCTCAAATCCCCTTAGTTCTTCTCTCCTTCTATCTCTGCCATACATGGAAGCATCACATTTTTTACAAAGCGGGAGGAGCTTTGCTGCAACTCTGGCTCACTCAAGGCATGCACATGAACACAATAAGCTAAGACACTGTTCGATTGCTGCAGTGCTAACGCGGCCGGCGGAGAATATAAACATAGCAACAGGCAAAAGCAGAACTATAATAATACCAGCAGATGTAGTAACTGGTGCAGAAGAAAAGAGCAGAATCTATAATGATAACTGGTTTGATCGGATGGCCATTAATCATCTGTCTCAGAATGTTCAAGCTGCAACAGGTTTCACTTTTGTTCTTCCATTCATCTTCATTTTCTCAAGGAAGGGACTAAAACAAAAATCACGTAAATGACATTGTTTGAGTCTTTTTGTTTTGTTTTTATGCAGGGTTGAAGAACAACAAGAGTGGCTTCGAAAGCTTGGTAGAGGCAGCTACAGCTGCATCAAGAAAATTTAATCCAGCAAAACAGAGAGAACTAGTTATTCAAGCTCTAGATAGTGCCTTCCCAAAGCCTATATTTTCCCTGGCAAGTTCATATGACCATTGTTTTCTTCAGCTATTCCACTCCTGTTTTTTTTTTCCCTTTGCTTTGTTTTCTTTCAAAACTATCTGATTTCAATGTTGAAAGGCAACTTTGTTAATGAAATTCTGTTGGAAAAAAAAAAATCCAATTAGCTGGTGAGGAACATTGTGACGAATGACAGAATTATTGCTGCTATCAAGATATGTTTGGTTGTTTGGCTGCCTGCGGTGCCTTTGTTTTTTTCTGTTTGCTGCCATTTTGATGGGTTTTTTGAGCTTCGTTTACATAGGTTTCATTATTTGTCTGATAAATTGTGTTTTCCAATGACAGCTTAGAGCAATACTTCCACAATCGAAATTTGCAAGGGAATACTTTGCTATCTTCACCACCATCTTCTTTGCCTGGTTGGTGGGGCCCTGTGAGGTAAGTAGAACAAAGTATTCTTCTTTATATTATGTGAATCTATTTATTATTAGTACTTTTTTTCACTTTTGAATTTAGTGACTTCAAGACTACATTTGGCCGGTCGTAGGAGCATATCATTTCTTAGATAGATCCCTTGCTCTTTGAATTATTGCATCCATGCATTTATCTGTGGAGCACACAACTCCATGTGTGATATCTCTGTGCCAAACAAATGTGTAAATATCACAACTCATTAGCCGTCAATCACATACACAATCTTGTTTGCATGAGAAAATCTGTCATATTACGCGTTATATGCATTTATGAGTCTACCTCTCTTATCACGTAACTTAAAAATACACTTATTCGGATGTTCAATAGCGACAGAGACAGCAAGCATTTTAAATGGAGTTGAAATGGGAATCTAACTACAGTGATTTAATCTTGAAGGTAAGGGAATCGGAGCTCGATGGAAGAAAAGAGAAAAATGTAGTCTACATAAAGAAATGCAGGTAAGTTTTGTTTAGCTTTGTCATTTAACCCCAAAAGGACCCCACCCACCTCACCAACCTAAGACACCTTCACTGCTTGAAACAATCTGCACCCATGATTGTGGGCTTCTTTCTTCTGTATTACCATCATAACCATCTAATTATCACATAATCTGAGCTTAACAGTTTCCTTTCTCAGATTTTTCATTCTGGGATAATTATCTAAGTTGTTCTGCTGTCATTTGTCCAAAAAATTTGCAGGTTTTTAGAGGAAACCAGTTGTGTGGGGATGTGCATTAATATGTGTAAGATGCCATCTCAAAGCTTTATCAAATCTTCCCTTGGAACTCCAGTCAACATGGTCCCAAGTAAGTTTCCAGAATTAAACAGGAGTATATTCAGAGTATTTCAGGATCTTAATACAAGAGAAACTTCTGGCAACAAAACATATGTTAAATACCTCTTTTAGTAAATCTGCTATTCAAACAGTTAATTAAGGATCAACAAAAATGGAAAGAAGTAAATCTGTTAAAGTAATAGGCACTTTAAATGTGGAGGGCCATGCTCATCATGTCAATGGAGGGTCCATGCATAAACCACAAAGGGTGCAAAATTGCAAGTTGACCCAGCATTCAGGTGAGGACCCCAAGCATATATAGATTAGTACCATATGAAACACAAAACTTCTAACATGAGATTTTGGGACCTGAATTCCTAGCCATATATCAAATGTACAAAACTTCATGATTTGTTCCAAGCTAATTCTGAACTCTCCTTTTCCTCCATGAGACCAATCATCTTTACTATGCCCCACACATAATGTCACTACAAAGCACCCAATATCAACGGTTTTCGCATGCACCACCTGGCGGCTAATTATAGTAATGCGTAGGAAATCAAATTTTCAAAATCCATGATCAGTGAAATAGAGTTGAACTATTGATGTAATTCCACTGTATCATTGAATATTCCAGATTTTGATGATATGAGCTGTGAGATGATATTTGGTCAGGACCCTCCAGAGCTATCCAATGATCCAGCACTCAAGCAACCATGCTTCAAACTATGTAATGATTCAATATACATTTGCTTTACTCTGTTCATATTAATTATCATAATAATTACAGCATCTTATAAATCATGATTTATGCAGGCAAAGTAAACCAGAGGCACAACACTAATGACTGCTCCAAATAACACCATGGGATGCTTACCAAGGGGGAAATAGGTGATTTTGGATGAAGTATGCAAAAACTCAAGCTGCTATAGAATGTCATCACAACAAAGCTCAATGCTAAATATCTGGTTCTTGGACTTGAAACTTTGTGATACAAATTTGGACAACAGATGAAACTTGCAGCTCCAACAAGCAACTGAAAGATTATGGTGTGTCAACTCAAGGAACTTGTTGATCCTAGTTGAAACAAATTTGTTTTAAAAATGTGGTTCATGAGGCATGAGAGAAAAAAGAATAATAATAATAATAATAATAATGATGATGATGATGTACATATGACAATTGACAAGGCATTATAATTCAAATCTTCTTTTTTTCCCTAATTGAAAAGCTAATTAGGTTTTCTTGTGAGAAGAAAGAGGTTTTTGACCTGAGATTTAATGTAGGGTATAAGTTCGGCAGAGGGTGGCCCAGCAATGTCTCCCACCATCAGTTTGCTGCTAAATGGCCAAGTTCAGAGACTCATCTGCAGTCTTTTCTGTCTCACCAAGAGAGTAACAAAGTGCTATGACCAACTTTGACCCATTAAAATATTCAACTTATCACTTATGGAAGTGGATTTCTTCCATAAGAAAATACTTTGAAGTTTTTCATGTGTTCAGATAGCAGAGATAGTGGTGGATATTTTAAGTATGTTCAGAGTCTAGGAAAACAAAAATAACTAGCAAAGAAGAATTTTTTGCTCTTCTTCTAAGTTCTAACAAGCATCATTCAGATACGCATCTTCTTTGCATGTCAAGCAACACAAGTTAATCTACAAAATAAACACAACCTTGGATTTTGTACCCCAAAAAAAAAAAAAAGAAGAAGAAATTCTCAGACCAGAAAACCATCAAATTGGTACCAAAAATACTGATGGGGGGCAAAGAGCTCAGCCCTCAAATTCTCCAATGAAGATACTTACAGGCTTTTACTATAGCCACTACACGTAAATTCTGTGCTTATCCTCCCACAAAACCCTTGTGATGTCATTAGCTAGTCATTATGAAGTGTCCTCATGTCCCTTAATTGAGTTCATACTGTAAGCAGCATTTTCACTTTCTCTCACCTCTCCATTTGCTCATAAACACTGTAATGCCATCATGCTTTGTGTGTGTGTGTGATATAAAAAGCTAAAGACTTGAAGGGTTTTCATTCAAATGACAATTGGGGACATGCCATCATCATCATAATCATCATCCAAACTTGATGAAAATCAAACGGTCTCAAATAATCTGTGCAGAACATAGGCCGGAAGGCTCTGTGTGCAAATTATTCCCCCATAGCATACATAAACAAGCACAAATTCGAGAAAAGACTAAATATAGTTTTGAGAATTTGACAGAAAAGCATACCCATAAATGGGCAAGGCGAAGTAGAAGCCTTAGCAGCTTGGCTTTTGGTTGTTTCTTCAATCTGAGGTGAGAAGCTGGGGGCGGATGTCCATGGCCCTCCAAGTCTGACTGATTGAGGAGCAATTTATTGGCCCATAATTTAGTAGACCTCGGTAGTTTTTGAAACCTCCATATTCTACATTAGAGCCTAAATCCATATGGATAAGGCCCAGAATGAATATAAAAAAAGGCAAACCAAAGCAATCCTTGCCTTGTAGATTACAAGGCCCGATCCACTTAAAACTTTTATAATTTTCCTTTGTGTGAAAAAAAAAAAAAAAAAATTCATTTTTTTGTATACAAGTGATTTCTGAGCAGGGAATATGAGTACTCGGATGTCAGGTAACTGATCTTAACCTCTTCACTTACAGGTTATTAATTAACGATTGGGTATGTGGGTTTTTCTTTTCAAAGAAAATTAAAAATCATGGGATGACGAAAATCCGTGAGTTCATAGGCAAATAGTTATAAAGTAGCTAGCATGCGGGGTGATATAAAAACATGGGTTGTAGAGACAATTGAATTGGTAACAGATGGGATACATAACCAAATAAGGTACTAGATGATTACCCATATATGAATTCCAAAGGACCTTTTATAGTGACT